ATCTCCGCAGCTCCATCATGAGTTGATCGTAGAGACCAAACATTCGACGTCTCTCAGGACCCAGCCAAGCCTTTGACCACCACCTCCGCAGTCGCCTCCTTCTTCTCCTATTTTCATAAGCGACACTATCTACATTCGCATCCAACAGGTCAATACGTGCCTGAATCATGGCCGCTTGATACTGCAGGCGGGCTCTAACGCGACACTCCATGATATGTGGATCATTAACTCACACTATCAAAGTTTCAGAAGGTCCTTACACTTGAAATGCAGGAAAATATATAACAGTTATAACCAGGGAAACCTCGTTTTATTCATCATCAGTTTTGTGCGGTGGACCATCGATTCATGTCTGTTATTTATCAGTTCTTATACGTCACTTGTTCGTTATCGTCCGTTTAACATACGTTACATCCGCTGCATGTCTGTTAGTAGCCCGGCCGTGAATCAGGTCCACCGGACAAGAACGGACTCGAACCGGACAAGTACAGAATAAGGAACGTGCGAGTAACGAACAAAACGCATACCAGCGCATGGTTACCGTACATCTGACGGACAACTTTATCCGGTGGTGTACGTTCCAAATTTTGAACATGTTCAAAACTTTCCACCGAACGGAACGAACACTACCGGACACCGCCGGACAAGAAGCGCAAACGCCGCATGATAAACGGAAAAGAAACGCATGCGAACAGACATGGACGGATTGAAAATTTTGTTATGCGTTGGACGTCCGTTAACGCTATACGGTGTAGTGTGACTGAAGCATAAAATACAGACAAAATAATGACAATTCATGAATTGTCTATAAAGATACCAAATGTTGGTGTCATTCCAATAATATGCCTTAAAATTTAATGTAATCTGTGACATGATGTCACCTGTGATATGACCTTCATGTCACCTTTGATATGATCTTTTCTCTTTATAAAATGTTTTATCATATTGTAAAATCATAAACAACTTTATAATTGATAATAATGGTTGCATAATCAAACATGAATGGGTGAACTATGTAAAACATAAATGGCCAATTTGTCAATTAAGTTTGACTATACAAGTTATAAATATAAAACAATATTTTATGGCTCTTTTCCAAAAAAATAAATTGTCTTAACTAAATAAAGATAAAGTTTATGTATAATTATATAAAAAAAAAGATTTATTACAAACAGTAATATATATAAATAATAAAAATTGTGAAAAATGGAAGTAAGCTTTAAGTCAAGTAAGCTTGTATGTCTTTTGTTAAACAAATTAAGTACTTTAACATGTTTGAAAAAAGGCTGATGTTTTGTTTGTTTTGATTGTTTAATATCAAGGTCATCAGTCTGTTTTTACTACATCATTCTATATTTACATCAGTATACTTAAGTTTTCAGAAAAATAAATTATATGAAATATTTGTGGGATCTTCTAAGGGATGAACCCATGAGTGCCCTGTCATTCAAGTCCATTTAAAGTTAAGTCAAAGTCACATAATATTATAGTTTTTGTTTACCTGTAGCAATAAAAATCAAAGCACAGAAGGCGCTGAATTTGTTTGGGTCTCAGAATGTCAGAAAGGTGAAGGTTGTGAGATTATAAACCAATTTGTTTTTGTATAGTGCCACCAATGCTTTCCAGTGTTTAACTGTAGTAAATTGGCTATAAGACTAATTGCAACACTGATAGTCAATTCAATGTTTATTTGACTTAAAAAATGAAAAAAAAATGACTTGCCTCAACTGGGATTCGAACTTCAGACCTCTGGATTCATAAGCGAGCGTGCAAACCCCTACGCACGGTGAAGTTATATGATAACGGCCTGAAGAAAACCATAATTGAGCCGTGTCACGACAAAACCAACATAATGGGTTTGCGACCAGCATGGATCCAGACCAGCCTGCGCATCCGCGCAGTCTGATCAGGATCCATGCTGTTCGCTATCAGTTTCTCTACTTGTAATAGAGTTGGTAAGCGAACAGCATGGATCCTGATCAGACTGCGCGGATGCGCAGGCTGGTCTGGATCCATGCTGGTCGCAAACGCACTATGTTGGTTTTGTCATGACGCGGCTCATATTATTCTAAATTAGGGTTTGTAACTCTTATTATTTCGACGCTAAACCTATTGTTAACACAGATGTAAATAATCATGAAGCTTACTGTAAGCATGTATATCTATAAAGAATGAAACAATATTAGAAATCTTCGACCATTCGGGAACTACTTTGCTTGAAAATTTATGCGCCTGTCATTTGACAATCTTTACGCATTGATCTCCCCTGAATTTTTCGGCGTTAGTGTACATATAAAGGGAAGTAACCGCTTCAAAAAAGTGGACTACTTTAGGCATTTGCAATTAACAGCATTAGGCTCTGAAATTTCGCTACCATTATTTGTTTGGTCTGACGACCCAAACAAATAAAAATGTAAATTTTCTAAAAATAAATTGCATAAAATTTATTTTTTTTTAAAACTGCAATATGGCAACCAGTGTTCTTGTTATCTTCATATTTTATATTTTTAAATCAATTACATGCAATTAAAGGTTAGCATTATGACAATTAATCCTCTTGCCTCCTATTAAATAAGACATATTTTAATCAATTCAGCCCAACAGAATATATAGTATATTAACCTATTCTAGTATTATCTTCCCATAATCCTCTGTTTTGAATACATGTATATTTTTCCTTTGAAACTATTGACTTCAGCTTATCTAGCACAATAGATTTTTCCCCAATGACCTTTTTGTATTAACTTTCTGAGGATTTTGACATTCAGGACAAAATTGTATTGAAATGAATCACAACAAATATGAAGATTGTCTTGTAAAAATTGTATAAAAGTAAACTATTATACTCTATTAAAAAATATCTCCGTTTACTTTTCATGATTTAATACCAGAAGTATTAAAGATACCATATAAGATTTAAAGTGACACGTCTGTAGCAAGAAAGGAAGTAATATATTCACAGTCCATTTTTAAGGCAATAATATGGCTTAATTTACCATTTAATGTATCAATTGTATAGAGTGAGGACTATGCCTTTGTCTTTTTTATATATAATTGGTATATAATGTGGATGATAGGTGTTTTAGATCCCCTTGTGATTAAGGGGTCGCCTGTAAGGGTTGAGGCATCAGAATTGCAGCCACTGTTTACCCCTCTTTGATTGAAAATGGCAACTGAATGGGTTTGAAATATTGGAGTCTATGCATCTCTTTGCACCTGGACATGGTTTTGACCCTTGGTGCTGCTTTTAGTTTCTTAAACACCCAAGGTTAGCCAAAATCATCCTTCCTGTTTCTGTGCCATATGACCTAAATTGTGTTGGTGGGCCGTAAAACCAAACTAAACTAACAAATGTGTTTTAGACTAGATTAAATCACTTTATTTATAAGAAAAATGAATAAATTTTCATTCTGGAGGCTTGCAGCTGTAAAACTGGCCAGTTAAAAAAAAAACTATTACTATTAAGTGGCAATTATTATGTTTCAATAAATCTCTTGAATTCTAACTCTCTTCATAAATATCATAATTTATATGTAGTTGAACTGCTAAGTACAAAATTAGAAAACATTTTTTTTACAAAAATATATAGTGTACAACTTTTAAGAGGGATGTAGTGCTGTAGGTTCATTTATAAGGAAGAACAACACATTTTTGATACCTAATTTGAATGATAACATACATACATGTATAGTTAAATTGAAAAATGAAACAAAACCAAAAAAATCCTTATTATTCATTTTTTTTTTCAAAACTTCTATACAAATACTTACTAAAAAGTAGGACACTAATAATAAATGAAACCAGTACAGTAGGGCATTTATAAGAAACTATACAGTATTTTATTTATTACTATCAAGATGTTACATTTGTTCAACATGTATATATTTTATATGAACTAGAAGATTGTGGACATACCATATGTGATGTTTTTTTAGTGATTTATTAATGGTTTATTTCCTATAAGTAAAAGTAAGTAAGAAAAATCATCATTTCCATTTGAGGATATTTTGCAGATCCATTTTTTTTAACTACTTTTTCTCACTAACTGACCTGCTCATTAAGTAACAACATAATTATGTTTATCTTCGGTAAGTTTAACGGGAAATTAAAAAAACACTTCCTCTGGCATGAGGAATATTTTAAGTAAGTGCACACTTTTATATAAAAACAATTTTAGATGAATTGACTGAAGAAATTTAGACGGTATTTTGTATACAAGCAAAGTTAAAATAACTTAACAGGAATTACATTCATAGATATGCACTGGTTAAAATGGTTTAAAAAAATTAAGAAAATAACTTTTATAACTTGAGTTGTGGGTCACATTATTTTATGTATGATATCACTAGATACTGTCATAAACAACTGGGAAATGGGTTACTATTTATCAACAGTATTTAACTGTAGATTGCTACCAGAGGTGGTGCTCTGTCTATGCCATCAATGCAAGCAAGCCTGCAGATCTCTGTTGTCTGACCAGGCTTTACATTTGACTGCTTTATTTTACTATTAAAATGTTTAGTTGACAGGGGCAAGTTAAAGTTAAAGCAGGATAAGTTAGTTGCACAAATTTTAGCATGGAAAGGGTTAAGATTATAAACCTAATGTAATCACCACTGAAGAAGCTGGTAGAGAACTAAACTGTTCCACATCACAGCCGCAACAAAATCTTACAAAAAGATGGATAAAAAATTTGAAAAATTTATTTTTTTAAAAAATTATTTCTAGTGGTATAAATGTATTCTTGTTTTCCTGTTTTTTCTTTCTTTCTTTTAGGCCTCAGACTGCTATTAATTTAGCTTTCAGTCGTTTCATTTGATAAGTTGCTACATATTGCTTGTCTCAATATTTGTACATATATGTAGCATTATGCTGGTGAATGTGTAAACAGTCTGGTAATCTATATGCCATGCTTGCATTTTGTTAGCTAACTTTTCAGTGTAGTAACCTTTGTCCCAGTATGTGTTAATTGCCAACAATGTAACCACTCTGAATTTCAGTGTTTGACCCTGCTCTACAAGGAGGTGAAAGCTTCATGGAGGATGTAAGACCGGATGGTACAGTCGTCAAAACACAGAGAATCAAACATCTACCACGTGGGCACGTTAGCTTTGATCAAACTGAAGATGTTGCTTTTATTGAGGAGGAAGGGCCATTACGTACTGAAACAGAAATACAAGATGAAGAAGAAATTCTTCAGGATGGTACTGTTCACAAAATACACACAGTAAGGAAACATTCCTTGAAACATGTCAGGAAGTCTTTACGATCAGATGCTGGTGAAGAAGATATTGTTGAAGAAGCTGATTTTGAATTGCCGGGCTCTGAGCAAATTGTTGAAACATTTCAAGAACCACCGAAGCAAATGATGGAAGTAGAAGAAGAAGAAGAAACTCTAGAAGATGGCACAACAGTTAAACGTAAAATCATAATGAGCAGCTTAGTGCAACATGTTAAGAGGAGAACAAAATCAATTGATGAAGGAACTGGAATAGAACACTCTGACGAGGAAGAAGTTGATGAGATTATACCAGGAACACAAACCTTCTTTGTTGCTCGTCCAGGTTCTTCCTCTTCAAGCTCCAGTTTTGTAGATGATCTTGATCAAATGGAAGCTACTATTGAAGAGGAAGAAGAGACTTATGATGATGGAACTGTAGTACAAACCACATTCTTAGAAGCTACAGAGAAACGGAAGCAAAGGTCAAGGTCAGGATCACTCTCTGAAATGGAAGGTAAAGTAACAATTACTGAGAGAAGAGTCACACCAGCGCATACTCCAGTTAGTACACCGCCAGGATCACCAAGATCAAGGTCACCAGTCAATATAGAAGAATTGGCAGCTAAAATTGCTGAAAAGACTATCAAAAAAGCTCATTATGAATCAGTTCGGCATCAAACAGAAGGTGGAGATGTTGAAACAACTAGCGAATATAAAACAGAATCATTTGTACCTCCGGCTCGTGCATTAGGTGATGAAGTTAATGATGAGCAAGAAGAACCAGGTAATAGCACGCGTAACATAAACCCCCATCACTAATGATGCATGATATGTTAATGTAGTATTAGTGTTGCATAAACAGCAGTTTCTGCATAGTGTTGCTTCTAGCTAACCTTCCACTAAATGGCTTCTATATAACCTGGCATATCTTACCTGTTATAGCAGTTTATATGCTTTCTGTTGGGATGTTGAATGTCATTCAGACATTTTGGTTGAATATGACATATTCAAAATTACTGTTGTCATAGAGATGGTCATTTGTTTACAAAAAATAACCATTTTACAAACTCTTTTATTTTGTCTTTCTAAATGATATTGCTGCAATCAAAACATTGATTTGTAAAAGCTTGATTAAGGATATAGATTGAATTGATTCAGAAGTTTTAAGGCATTAGTAGCAGATTAAGTATTTCTTTACAATAACAAATGACTATTTCTAAATGCATGTAGCATTGTTTGATTTGTTTTCAGTTTCTGTTTTTGGTTTTAATTTGAGATTTAATTTATGGTTCAAGCATTATTGAATCGTTTATGTTGTTCTTTGATTGAGTTTGAATCGAGACAAAAAAAGTTTTACTGCAAAATTTTTAAGGGCAATTGATACCGATATTAGAATTATGTCATATGGCAACAAAAAAGTAAATAACGCAGAAGAAATATTGAAAATAAGTTGAGAAAAGTAAATGATTGAAAATGTTTTACAAGTTACAAAAAAAAGATTATTTAAGGTAAAATTTTGAAAACTGAACAGAAATTAAATTCATTAATTATAAAAATACAGTCAATTAAATCTCTTAATATATGTCCAGTGTGTGTATGCCTGTATGTGTGTATGTGTGTAGAAAGCTTTGGAATGTAACTGCTCTATTCAACAATGTTGTATCTCAATGCTCTCAATGAGCAAGTTAGAACATTGTTACTATGAACTTTTGGGATATTATTTTACTATTTTATAAGTATTATCAGTAAATGCGAGCATGCGATGACTTTGGGATATTTTCACTAAGGATTTGCATGTTGTGGCTGTGTTGGAAAGTATGAAAAACTAATCATGAGAGTTTGATCTGAACTAACAAGGTCTATGTGGGTTTATGTCTGGCTTTCTGTGTGGGAATTTCTAACTGTTTGAACTGTCTTAAAATCTAGTCTATAGCTACTTATACTCTACAATTCTATTTAAACTATTCTATACTATTTTCTATTCTTATCTTTATTATATTAGATATATATCATTATATTTTATATATGATCACTATGTCCATACTGTACACTAATTGTAGATTTTATACCGGTATATTGTACAGTATGTCCGTAAAATCTGAAAAGAAAGTAAAAACTTGGTTGCCATGGTAGGTGCTTCCTGAAAAAATAATGATAAAATTTGAAAAAAGAATTAGAGCTGTTGCGGTTGAGCATTTGAGCAAAAGTGGCTTAAAAGAATGCTATTTAAATTGTTTTATGCATACCATGGCAACCATGATGCATTTCTAAAACTAATTAAAGTAAAAATATGTATTTTCTTATGATAAAGCAAAATCGTTTTCTTTTTTATCACATATTTTTAGAATTTTTGAGTCTCCATATATATATATAATTGCTTGTAAAATTGACTTAAGAAATATAAAAAACATTTTTAAAAGATGATAAATTTTAGCACAATATATCATGAAATGTTGATGACATAGATTATTACACAATATTGATTGTAGATTTATTCAATGTTAAATTATTGGTCTGCTATTTGACAGAATGGAAGGAACTTGGAGAAACTGGTTTCGCACACAGACCTGTGACGAAAGTTTCATACTCCCCCTCGCAAGAGAGAGGTACTTGTTGACAGTAAACCCCATGTATTTTAGTTACCTTGACAACATTTCACCTAACTAGAGCATTCAGTTACCATAGCATTTACATCCTAGCTATACAATTTATATATAGACAGTTTTTGGTGATGGATTGCAGCGTCATATTTAGACGGGACATATACGGGCGAAATGAAATATGACTGCAAATATACATTTTTGCTTTAATGCCATTTTTTTCTATTTTCAAATATTTTTTTAATTTATTGAGATGTTTTTGTTATTTGTGCAAGCTTTTTTTGGGCATTTCTCTATATTTATGCAACTGTTTCATTCTTTGGTATGAAACAAAATCAACCGTATTGATTATTGATTGAAGAAAGCATGGGATCATTCCTACTTTAATTCAAATTCAATTAAGCTAGCTTCTCTGAGTTTTTCTAGTAAGATTGTAAAATTGAAAGAGGCAATAATTGGATTTTATAGTGATAAGGCTCAAATGTAATTTACTTTTGGTATAAATTTCTAGTTAGATACTTGATAAAGCCATTTAATGTTCCGAGATAGTAGATACTGTGTAAATGCTATGGGGACATCAGTCATGTCTGTGTACTTATTTGTTCAAATTCATCAGTACTGATCATGCACACTAATGTGTCTTTTAATTATTTAACACTAATGTGCCTTTTATTCATCATTACTGATTGTGCACACTTAGGTGTCTTTTATTCATCAATACTGATTACACTAATGTGTCTTTTATTCATCAATTCTGATTGTGCACACTCTAAAGGTGTCTTTTATTCATCAATATACTGATTGTGCACACTTATGTGTCTTTTATTCATCAATATTGATTGTGCACACTATGGTTTCTTTAATTCATCAATACTGATTACATTAATTTGTCTTTTATTTATCAATACTGATCATGCACTTTTGTGATCATCCACACTAGTCATCAGTAGTGATTGTTTACACTATTGAGGTCTTCCGCCACTGGTAAAGTTGGCAAGTTTCCCTCTGTTGGTTTGCGCTATGTAAAACCCAAAACTCCCTATCCCAAAACAAATTGATTGTATACACTATTGTGCCTTTTATTCATAAATACAAATTGTGTTTACTAAGGTGTCTTTTATTCATCCATACTAATATTGACACCAAGGTTTCTTTTGGACACTAAGGTGTCTTTTATTTATCAATACTGTTTATTCATCAAAACAAATTGTGCTTGCTAAGGTGTCTTTTATTTGTCCATACTGATTGTGCACACTTAGGTGTCTTTTATTCATCAATACTGATTGTGCACACTAAGGTGTCTTTTATTCATCAATACTGATTGTGCACACTAAGGTGTCTTTTATTCATCAATACTGAATATTCACACTATGGTGTCTTTTATTTATCAATACTGATTGTGCACACTAGGGTGTCTTTTACTCCTCAATACTGATTGTGTACACTATTGTGACTTTAGTCATCAGTACTGATTGTGCACAAGAAGGTGTCTTTTATACATCTATACTGATTGCACACGCTATTGTGACCTTTATTCATCAATACAGATTGTGCACACTAACGTGTCTATTATTCATCAATACAGATTGTGCACACTAAAGTGTCTATTATTCATCAATACAGATTGTGCACATTAAGGTGTTCCTTATTCATCAACACTGATCGTGCACATTACTGTGCCTTTTATTCATTATTACTGACACTGCACACTTAATATGTGTTTTATTACTGTTTAGACTTGTGTGATTGCATTACCCCTATCATTAAAATTACCTAGATTAGTAGATATGATATCTAACAGACTGTTAGCATTGTTTGAAACTGACTGATACAATGTTAGCTAATTTCACAATATCTTGTAGAATCTTAATAGGATTTCCTAGTTCTAACCACATTGAAGATTGTCTTGTATGATAGCAGACATCTCTCTGATTTAAAGGTTTTACTGGAAACAAATATTTATAGCAAGACTTTCTTAGGAAATTGTTGGGTTTTTTTTCAGTCTACACTGTGGTTTCTTCAAATAAAGTAAAATTTATTATTTCCTGCAAGAAAAGGCTGAATAGAGCATATTTATTGAATAAGTATCTGATTTATGTAGGTAGATTCACATTTGAACAGATGTTTACTTTTAATGTACAAGAAAATTTACAATTTTATTTTTTCTGTCATGAAAAGTGGGAAATAAATTATCTGAATAGATGAAAATGTAAAAGAATGTCACATATAAATTAAATGTAAAGTATATAATGTATTACAATACATGTATTTTGAATAAGATGTTTCTTTGGGAGGAAAATGTTGATGGCCATTAAGGTAGTCATCACAGGCATGCCATTAGGCTATATATTAGAGAAAAATATTTTTCGTTTTTAAAGACTCGTTTCATGGGTAAAGTTTTTTATGTTTATGAATTTTTGTACCCAACAGGATAGATCATTAGCATGCTTCAAATGTTCTTGTGTAACTTACTTTATTCACTGACTTTAAGAATGGCAGGGAGTATGTTTTTTATCACAGATTTCTGATTTCCATTGACTTTTGTGAACTGTCATGACACAGGGTGCTTTAAAGAGCTGTACATTGACATAGCAGCCATTTTTGGAATTATTTCAGAATTTTGGTTTAATGGGACAGATCAGTGTGCTCCAGCTATAATGATCACTGATGATTACTGTTACTCAGATGATGATGATGATTATGGTAGTTCATATTACTATCAGTATCACGATGATAATTCCAATCTAGTTGATGCTGGGAGTCAGTTTGAAGGTCAGACACAATGCCATGGTTACCAGATGTTGTTCCAATCTTTTCTCTTGTGATATGAGTTCCAACTTGGCACCTTCTCTATCTTCTTACATTTTAATCCTCTTTCCGTGTTTTGTAAAGATTTTAGATATTGTTGGTATGTAATGACCTTGACCTATTTTTGTTGTAGGTGTCCTGTGACCTTGACCTGTTCTTTCTATAGTAAATATTGGTACTGGACATTATGAAGTAGATCTGACTGGTCATGAATAAATCTTGCTTTTGTGCAGATAAAGTGTTGGCTTTCTTTTCCCTAACAGTGTACTAATTGATAGAATATGTTTTTATAAATTCCATGTACTTTTCTGGAAGGTAAATCAAACTATTAGCTTGTAGATGTCTGACAATTCTTTCTGATTTAATGCTGATTGATTATTGTAGTGTTTCACATTAATCAAGTTGTGTATTTATCAGGTTCAGTCAAGTTGTAAGATTTTGCAATTTAACGTCTTCAAACTTGCTCTTTTATGCCATGCCAATTTGTGAAGATTTAAATAGTTTCCTTTCATTAGCTAGCATGATATTTGGTAATATTATCAAAAATTACACAACCTCATACAATATAAATAGACTGACAGATTTTATTTCATATATGAAACTGTTAATTAAGCAGTAAATAAAGGCAAGTGATAAATTATTTGATTATTTTTCTGTTAATATTTAAATTCTGTTTTCTGACTTGTTTTCTACAATAGAGAGCACTGATGTGCCTTGGAAAATAACATGAAATTCCTGATTTTACACTTCAAATCGTAAGAAAAATGACAAATGTGGTTGATGTTGTATAAGTAAAGTGTTTTTTCAAACACTTATTTAAAGCAGAAGTTAGATATTCGAACATATTGTAGAAACCTGAAGTGTCTGCTCTTTTAACTCTTATCCTGCTGGCCTATGTGACCAGTGCAGACCAAGATCAAATGGCACAACCTTAACAACATTAAATGGGTTTGTCCAGATTCAAAGATGGACAAGCCCATTCAAAAAAAGTATTGTAGTAAGGGTTAAACACTTCCTTTATAAATTAAATTTGTCTTATAATTTATATCATTTTGTTTCTTTTATTTAAATGTCACTTTTCAGTATTCTAGGTATTGTGGCTGAATGTTGCTTGCAGTGAAAATATGCATGTACTTTGATTGGATGTCTTAGATCATGTGATTACACTGTATGACCAGCTGGTAAAATTTCTATTAAGTTTCTATTAAAGCAAACATTATATTGACATATATATATAATGCAGTTATTCAAAAGTTTGTGTTATAAATGTTTTATACCATATAAATGATTTTCAGCCTAATTAAAATGGATGATGACTTGCAGCATACACCATTTTTATAGAATCCACATTCATTACTTAATCACTATCAGAATCACTAATGGTTTACAAATATTCTTATTATTTGTTAAGGGATACTTAAAGCAGCATGCCTCCAGGTTCATATTCATTTTCATGAAAATTTTGAAAATGTTAAAGTATTTCGAATTGAATAAAATAGGTAATTTACACATTGCAAACAGCATTTAAATCCAAGTAAATTAAAGAGGACAACATTTGCAAATATAGCTCTAAAAGCATAAGTCATGCTGTAGAAATATGCAAAATCAGTCATTAATTGCAGAAAACGTGTAAATCATTACTTGAATCTTTTTACTTTTCAAAACATCTTTGTATATTTTTCACAAGTTTGATTTTTCTTGAAAGATTTTTGGCTCACCTGGAAGCTTACAAGATAAATTAATTTTTTTCATTTTTTGAAAACTTACTTTTAGTTTTGTGCTTGCAAGAAAAAAAATTTAAAGACAGAAATACCATTATAAAAATATACAAGAAAGGACTGCAGCAAAAATCAAAAACACCAGCTGATCTGAGTTAAGCTTGTTAGTGTTGTGGGTTTTCAAACTAATTTTGTTTTCAATGTTGTGTTTTAGCAGCCCATCATCAGGAGTCGAGGGAGAAAAGCCCGGTGTCCAGTTATTCTACATATTATTCCAGTTTTTCTGAAGGTAAATGAATCGTCTGTTGTCAGCACAGAGATAGAACTAGAAGATGATCATAGATTAGAATTTGATGTAAAACAATTGTCATATTTCTAGAATTATTCGATATATCAATTGAATTTTGGTCCATAAATCTTTCTTTATGATTTCAAACTTCCTTTCTCCGACTATTAAATGTAGTTCCAAAATATCTGAAATACTGAGTAATGACTCTAGAAATATGATAATTTTTTTCAGATGTATCCTGCCTGCATGTTCAATTATTTTAGATGAACATGGATGTAAATATTTTGTTCTTTTTTAGAATTAATTGATATCTTGTTCACAGATGTCCAGTGGAATCCAGAGAGTGCATTTTGTTGTATACTTTTATTACTGACAGTACTAAATTACATTTTAACAAGTAGGGTTTTTTTCTAACACACTAACATATGTTTTTCTTTTGATTTCTTTTAATGCTTGCCTTTATTATGGAACCTTGTTTCAACTTGACGCTCTCTTGAAACTTTGGAACTGGTTGATAGAAGTAGAATCATCCCCGGAAGTACCCAAATCTGTTTCCTCCATTATTCAGAAATTTGAAAGAATAGCATCCGTAGACTCTGATACTACCGTGTCCAAGACGACAGAACATGAAATCAGTATTAAATCATCTCAAAATGAAATAGAAGGAAAAGACATTTCAGTGGTGAAAGAGGCTGAGGGTGAATCAAAAACTGAAAAAGAAATAGCTGCAGTTAAAGATAAACGTGACAGTCTTGAGGTTGATATACCAGATCTTGAAATGGCAACTGATGCTTCACCTGGAACTCAGTTTAGACAAATTGTTGAAGACATTGAAGCTAAAGCTGACAGTATATCTAAAAATATTCTTGCTGAAGATCAAACTGACTCTGAAACTAAAGTTTTGACTACATGTCAAACAGAAATTATAAGTGAACAAAGTACTGAACATTTTAAGGAAGAAGATGAACTTTCTAAACAGGAGAAAAGACGTTCTGTAAGAGAATTAGTCCAAAAACATGAATCTCTTGCTAAAGAAAGCAGTATTGAAAAATTAGGCAGTATTGATAAAGATAGATTAGTGAATGATAAAAGTAAAGATGTTATTGACGAGACAATAATAAGCAAAGTAGAAAGAAAGGAAGTAGAGGAAATTCAAGGGAAAGGTACGATCACAGATGAACTTGCTGAAGAGGAACAAAAATTGCAGCGTCTTACCGAGAGTAACATAATTGAAGCTGACGATTCAGAAAGTAAAGATTGGGAGGCAATTGAGTCTTTAGAACTTGAATCACCCAGTAAACTGCCGTCTCCTTTAGAGCAACATTATCCACTATACACTACTGAGGAAACAAAGATATCAGAGGAAGAATCAACATATACAACAGCTGAAGTAGATGTTATTGATTCTCTTTCTGAAACAGATGAACAACTAATTGACAAAAAGGCATATGGAGAGACTGAAGATATTCTTCATGATAAAGAATCTGAATTATTTAAAGAAGATGACACAAATAAGGCCAAAAGTCTAGATCTGAAAGAAATTGGTACAGTTAAACAGGTGCACTTTGCAGAAGAGATAGAAATTGAGGAAAAAGATGTTGAAGAATTAACCCCTGATTCTGCAGTTGTAATGATAACAAAAGTAAAAGACACAACCACTGAAATTATACTTGAACCTGATGTTGAATTATGTCAGGAAGAAGAATATGTAGAAATAATAAGTGAGACAGGTTTGGATGAAACTGAAGAAGTAGAGGTTATTCATACTGAAAGTGAAAAAAAAGTCTCCCTAAGTGATATTAATTATCAATCTGGAGAGATGGTAGAATGTGAGGAGCTTGAATTGGAAAGTGTAGAACAGCTAATTGAAGGAACAGAACCCATGGAGATTACATTGAGTCAACCCATGACGGGAGAGGATTTCATTACAGAAACAGTTGAGGAAAGAGAATATATAACTGCAAAGCCTATTGTAATAGATGAAAAATTGGCCTGTGCAACTGCTACTGCTTCAGAGCCTTTGTCAATTTATGATGAAAGGCCTGATGATAAGGAATATTTACAGGATTTTCCTGAAAGTGCAGTAGGAACAGATGATGTTAAAATAGATGCCGAAAAACAAGTTGAAACAGCTGATGAGGAAATAATTGATTTAACAAATAAATTTGATGAATTACTTGAATTTGAAACAGCGCCTCCATCATCAGAAGAAATTTTAGTTCAAGCAAGAAATGAAATAAAAGAAACAAAAACATTTGATGAAATTGTTAAATCACATGGTGATGATACTGAATCTAAATATCAAAAAGAAATGATAAAAGATGATTCATTTGAGAAACAAGAAGCGGAGAGAAATTTAAGAATTGAAGAGCAAGCAGATTTCAATCTTAATTATGAAGTCGGAGAAGTTGAATCAAAGCCACCTCCGACTTTGGAAATTGAAATTCAACCCAGAGAAGAAATAACAGTTAAAAATAAGTTAAGTGAACAATTTTCGCAAAGAGAACCTGTTGAGGAAGCAGAAATTCTTACTGTTGAATCTCCCGTAAGTGATGAAGATCTTGTTGAAAAACCAACTCATGTTAGTAGAGAGTCAAGCCTTGATCATCCTGATAAAACAGTTGAAATCAAAGAAGAAAAAAGTGATGATATTGTAGAAACAGAACTATCAGAAAGTGATGCATATTTTAATCATGAAAAACAAATGAATAGAATAAAGCAAACAGTTTTATTATCACGCCAGGAAAGTAACATTGAAATAACTCTAGATGAATTTCAGGTTAAAGATTGTGAAAATGAAGATGAAATAGAGGACGAAACTCTTGAAAGTAAACAATTTGAAGCTAAATCTGAAGATATAGAAAAATTTGAAACAGAAGAACCGTTAACATTTAAAATTGATGATTCCAGGCATCCAAAATCAGTTGATAATGAAGACCAAGTAGATGTTGTCATATCAGAAGAATTAATATCTGAAGAATCAATTAAGCAAAGACATGAAGATGATGAAACAGAATATATTGAATCTGTTGATGAAATTCTTAGTTCTGATGATCATAAAACCATGGAAACTAAAGAGACTGAGGTTATTGAGACATTTAAAATTGATGATTCCGGGCATTCAAAATCAGTTGATAATGAAGACCAAGTAGATGTTGTCATATCAAAAGAATTAATATCTGAAGAATCAATTAAGCAAAGACATGAAGATGATGAAACAGAATATATTGAATCTGTTGATGAAATACTTAGTTCTGATGATCATAAAACCATGGAAACTAAAGAGACTGAGGTTATTGAGACATTTAAAATTGATGATTCCGGGCATCCAAAATCAGTTGATAATGAAGACCAAGTAGATGTTGTCATATCAAAAGAATTAATATCTGAAGAATCAATTGAGCAAAGACATGAAGATGATGAAACAGAATATATTGAATCTGTTGATGAAATACTTAGTTCTGATGATCATAAAACCATGGAAACTAAAGAAACTGAGGTTATTGAGAAAGAAATTTCGTTACATGAAAATGAAGAGATAAGTTCTCATGAAAATGAAGGAAAGTCCTTGCAACTGGAAGGCAATAAACCTCAAGAGGGTTCTAGAACTATTGAAATTGTTGAAACGAGGTCTATTGAATCTGTATATCGAAAAGAAGAAATAGATGATCACTTTGAAATTGATGAACAGGGGTTTAAAAAAAGTGGTGATTTTAGAATTGAAAATGAGGAACAAAAACAGACTGAACTTGATGAAACAACAGCTGAAAGAGAGGAAGAAAATAGGTGTGTTGAAAGTGCTGATCAATCAGAATATGCAATTAATGCATCTATACAAGTTGATGGAAAGGAAAATGAAGAATGTATTGCAACTGAATCTGAACTTGAAAAAAGAGATTTCATTCACATAGAAAGTAAGACATCTGAAACAGAAACGTATATGTATACTAAAACTGACTTGACGGAAACATTACAAAGTAAAACAAGCATTGAACATGTTGACAGTTCTTTTCAAGAAAACCAGGAGGTAATAACTGCATTAGAAAAAAATGAAAAAGCTGATTTCATCGAAACAGAAAGTATTGATGAAGAACCAGAATTATCTGAAACATCATTTCATGAAAGAATTTACACAGATATAATGCAAGCTGCAGATGAAGAAATGGAGGGAGAACCTGTAGGGTTTTCTGTTGAACCTAGTTCAGATGATGAAAATGAATATGAAAATGAAGAAAAGGCATTTGTTACATTTGATCTGGATGAAGTTGATGAAATCGCTGAAACTGAGTCATATTTAAGATCAGAAGTGAAGAGGGATGAATCTGAAAGAAGTGAATATACAGCTGAAGTGATAGAAATAATAGAAGGTGATGAAGATGAAGACACAATTCCGCCCAGTGCCTCATTGGTTAGTGAATTTGTTGAATCTGAAGATGTTGTTTTACCTAAAGAAATAACACCAGAGTATAGTTTTACTGACAGAGTTGAGCATAAGTTGGAGATGGATGATGATGAAAAAAATGAAATAAGTAGCATAAAATCAGATGAAAAAGTTGATAGGATATTAAGTGACAAAAAAGAAGCTATAGAATCTAGTGAATCAGAAACATACAAATCTTGTGAAACCGACTTAGACAAATATGATAGCAATGATTTAGAATTAGGCAAAGAAACAGAAATTAAAGTACAAGATTTTATAGATGTGTGTGAAATTGAGAAAGATGAAGTTATTGAAATTGATTATAAATATGATGTTGATGATTTTGATGAATCTTATATAGATAGAACAGAGAGATTCATAGAATTGTCAAGAGATGGTTTTGAAATATCTGATCAGAGACCTAGTAAGACAGTTCTAAAAAATGATTTTAACACTGAAACAAACTTCATTCTTGAAAGTTCATCAAAAACAGAATTTAAAGGACAGGATTCTGATTTCGAAAAAGTTACAGAAGACACAGCACAAGATCACATGGAAGACATTGAATCTGATTCAATTGAGGATGAAGACGTAGATTCATACATTGAGAGAAGATCTCAAAGATCTGTAGATGCCGAACAACAAAGTACAAAAAGTTCTGAAAGACCTCTCTCACCGACAGACTATACTCTTGAAATGGAAGAATCTGCAATGGCAGGTGATGGCCAAGAGGCAGATGTTGATGAAGATGATGATGATGAACAAGAAGAGGATGTAATCAATGAACCAGAGGGAAGAATATCAGCTGATGTTTCGCAGCAAATTTTTATTGAGCAAAAAATTGAAAAAGACAAGGAAACTCGAGTTGACAAAATAAGAGAATCGGGAGATGGGGAGGAGAGAGTTGAAGAAGTTCCACCTTCTCCTTCTGAGTATACTCTTGTTACATCTTATGAACAAGAGAAACTAAAACAGATTCTAGCCTCGCCTGAAAAAAGGTCACCTCTTTTGGCAAGGGTATTTCGTGATGAAGCCATGTCAGTATCAATGGATGAATCAGTATTGCAAAAAGAACTTAGAATAGAAAGAAATATCATGAGTGCATCTTATGATGAGGAAGCTTTAAAATATGTTTATGACGAAGAAGATATAATGGTTTCCTCTGCAGAGCATGTCATGGTAGACTCATTGGTAGCTTCATCCCTTGAACCAGAGGATGTCCGAGTATCAGGCAGTGTGTGCTCAGGTAAAGATGAAGATTATTCTGTTTCATCATCTGAGCATAAGTCAGATGTTATGACTGACTCCTATGACCAAGATTCTCTTCAAAAGTCTGGAGGATCAGCAAGAGAAAGTAGTTTAGCTGATTCAATGGACCCAGAAATGCTGCAGAGAGCATTAGGTAAAGATTCTGATTTGATGGCATGTTCAATGGATCAAGAGGCTCTTCAAAGGTCACTTGGACTTGAAAGTGACATGTCCTCATCTATGGATCAAGATATATTGAAAAGAACTCTTGGTCTAAAACAGACAGATAATATAATGACAGACTCTCTTGAAAAAGAACAAATGAACAAGTCTTTAGAGGTTGTTAAAGAAGAAGTAGCTTTGACAAATTCATTAGATGATGAAATTATGGAAAAGGCTTTAGGTTTTGGTAGAGTATCTGCAATGGAAACATCAACTAGCCAAGATGGTCTCAAAGTTTCACTAGGTGACAAAACAGCAGATTTAATGACAACATCGCTTGAGTTTGATGATTTAGATGCTTTGCATAGATCTTTAGGTTTGGCTGGAAGTGAGGGACAAGATCAGTCATCAAAAATTTCAGAAATTGCAGAAGTAACTGAAGAGTCTCAAGCTACAGAAATGTCAGAAGGGATGCTTGAGTCTCTGGATGAAGAAGCATTAAAAAAGTCTCTAGGGATGAAACCAGCAGAAGATATTATGGCATCTTCCATGGATCAGGATGCCCTGAAAAGATCTTTAGGCTTAGATCAAGAAGACTTAATGGCAAGTTCAATGGATACTGATGCACTAAGAACCTCTCTAGGTTTAGATAAAATACAAAGTAGTGATGATGACAGTGAAGAACTCAAACTAATAAAATCAAGGGAGTTTGACCCAATGATGGTCTCAATGGATCAAGAAGCATTAACTACATCTTTAGGACTTGATAAGATTGAAGAAGAAAAATATGAAAGTAAATTTGATTCATCTGATGATAAAGGTGGGGATGCTAAAAAGGAACAAATGATGATGTCTATGGATGAAAATGCATTCAAGGCTTCTCTTGAACAAGATGAGTCAGAAGATATGTCAAAACACACTGAAGAGCATGTGGATGATACTTCAGCCATGCATGTTACAGGTACACCTTTTATGTTTATTTTTTTTTTAGTTTTCTAACAATTAAGTAACATTGTGCATTGAATTAATTTCTAAGCATGTTACAAAGAATGCTAAAGGTAAGGGTTTAACAAGATTTATCTTAACCTACTGAATGTGTGTTATGGATTCAAATTTGGAAATGTCAATACATAAGGGATTTCGGTATCAAAACGGCAACAAACCATATACTGTAGTAGAGCCTGACTGGCTGTATACTGGTGACAAACTCTTAATCTGTTTCTGATCTAGCAGGTTAAGGATTAAATATGTACATGTATTATATCATTGGTTCAATATTCTCATTATTTTTTAATTAATTATCTTTCAGTTTAATATCTTTGCCTGTATAGGTATTGATAGATTGGTCTTATAATGTTAATGAAAATTGTATATGAGATAAGCTTATTAAGAAACATGCAAGTGTAAGAGCTTTGAGTTGAAAGAGGATATGTTTGCATGAAGACACTGTTTAGTATAGTCATGATTATTTCTGCACCTATTAACAATGACAAATTTACTGTAAAATTTTATTCAAGTTGCTCAGAGTAAATTTATTATTAAAGATGTTTTAGCACTTTCCTATTTTCCATACATTAACATGTTATTTAAGTATATTCTGAAATGAATTTAATTTTTTTTATTCTTATTGCAACTGAAAATATATTTATAAACAAAGTTAAACAAAAATGAATATAAAAGGTAATGACATTATATGTATAAAATATGTTAACTGTGGACACAAGCAGAGTTCTATAGGTATCAGTATAGAGGAAGACAAGCATCCACCTCTGTGAAAAATAGTAAATGCTCAATTTTGGTGTTTTGATAATTGTACCTGTGTCAATAACACTGGAGCATTTCAGATTATTAAAGCAATTATGAATTCAGAGAGGGATTTAGAATGAAACATATAGAAAATAATTGTTTTGTTAGGAATATGTAAGTGTTTTGTAAAGTTCTTTGTTTGAAAAAAGAATCAGACACAATAGAAGGAAAATTGAGGTAACATTATGCAAAACAGAAACCCGATAAAACAGAGAAAAGAGATATCCCAGATGTAATACACAATGGTGAAAGCATCAGTTTGTAATTACTATTACTATGCTATTACAGTAATGACTTGTTCAGATTTTATATGTAATGTTTTTCTAAGTGAGTTATTATTTTGATTTATTTTACATGACAAAAATGATTCCTTTTAGGAAGGTATAATCTGAAATGCTTTCACTATTGTGTCTTTATTGTAAATAAGGTTTTGTAGTATAATTATATTAAAGAAAATGTTGATTAATTATGTAATATTAATCATTTTAAGGTATTATTTATAACAGTGTATTACTAAAGCATTAAGTTTCATGATTATTAAGTAAAATCTGAATAATAGAACCTCTGTCTCAAAGTAATTTCTTAAAGTGACATTATGCTCATATTTTCATAGTCAGGTTGAGCTGAATTGACTTTTTATTTCAAAAGATTGACTGTTAAAATAGTGTTTGACCAACAGTTTATTTTGGAAAATGTTTATGATAAAATTTAAAATCTGCCTAAAATATAAAAAGACTGCCCCACTCTTTTTATAACTGAACGTTTCAGATAATTGTTATTTACAGAAATTCCGTTTCGATCCGAGGGTTATTTATTGTTGATATGGAGTAAATTATTAAATTAAAAGGAATTATGGCTATATAAAAACTTATTTTGTTTTTTACCTGCTCACTCACTGTATACCCTTGAATGAGCATAATTTCTTAATTGATGTAATTAAATACATGATAGGAAACATAAAAATAGATAACTATTTTTATAGGATTATAAAAGATTGCTGTCCTTTAAAAATGAAGTGTTAATTTTATCACTACTATTCAGTAAATCAGCCTTGAGATAATCTTCATTTTCTAACACTTACTCATTTATCACTGAATTTAATCATTTGGGGCATCAGACATGTATTTTTGGTCATAAATGTAGGTCACTCACAGTCCTGTACCCATTAACTCTTGTATTGATTTTGATAATTATTTAATGCCCCTTGGTCAAACTCCAGTTAAAATCTTAGATCTTAAAATATAATGGTATACACTTTAAACTTGTTTTTGGGAACATATTTGTAGGTAATTGACCAAGACCCATAACTCTGTTATTAATTCAGACTGAATTCCCACCCCCTTCCCTTTGGGAACTTAAAAACTCCTAGTAGTTAGTTTTTGCATACAAGTGACATTTTCGCAACCAACCACTGAATATATTTGGATGTCAAGTTTTCTCTTTACTAGGATAGATAAATTATAAGCCTTGTGGGGTCATAAATATCATTGTCCATATAGCACCAGCTTGTGATAGTCCAGGGAACTGCTTTGTATTGGCTTAAGAAGACTTGGGGTTTTTATTGCAATCAAGCTTAGAAAGTATTTAATTATGGACATTCTGTTATGTTTTGTATCAAAGACGGTATATATTTTCAAATGATATAAAACTTGTTTTTGTTTTAGATGGTATTTTTGATGGTCTTTCAATGTGTTTACTCTTTAAATAAGAAAAAAAATCAAGCATAGTCCCTGCTTAGCTGTGGTTAAACGTGTAAAACGTCAGTGTTTTAAAGGTGAAAATTAACACAAGTGACAAAACCAGATTTTTTTTCTAGGATTTTGGGAACATGACCCATACCCATGGCATTGGGAATTTCATCGATGTTTTGTTAAAAATTGGGAAAAAATGCATGACTTACATTTTGTAGTTATTAACTGAATGCAAAGAATCACTGTCTAGGATGGCATCTTCATAACATTTATGCATCATAACAGTGAAAAAACCCTTTTTTCAAAGACTTTTGAATCTGTTATTCAATATTTTTATTTTGTGACATTTAATTGGGAATTTTTACCTGTCGATTGGGAAAATTATATACTATTTTCAATTGGGAATATGACCGAATATCGGCTATAAAATAAGCCAAAAAAATCCCTGGAAACCTTCATTTAATTCCAACTTTCGGACTATTGGACCAAATTGATTGGAGATGAAATATTTGAGAGTAAGGCTTAGATAAACCAACCATCATTATACATTAGGAGACGTACAATATGAAAGTCTCTGGTGATTAAGCCCTGTAACTTCTGAATACAATAGTCTCAAAGATTTTATTAATGCGTCGGAGACATGATACTTTGTCTTGGAAACAAATTTATTGATACTTAGTCTGATTAAATCCAACATTAATTTTTGTTAAGATACATCACATTTTGGATAGAATAAAAAATCAATAATGCTTGAAGTAGCTAGATATATTTTTGTTCATTTTTGGCCGGGTTGCACATGTGCAAACCCGGGTTATAGTATGGTGAATGATGGGCGGCGGGCGGACAGGGAAAAATTTCTCAGCAACTTCTTATCACAGCCTCTTGATATTTATCATAAAGCATTAACACATGGTCCAGTACTGTGGGATTCGATTTCAGGTCTGTCACTCATCCACTTCCTGTCTACCTACATTATTAATGGTGAATGGTAGGAAATTTTCGCAACAGTTTTCTCAGCAACTACTTACTTAAGTCTCTTGATATTTGGTATACAGTATCAACACGTGGTCCCATACATTGGGATTTCGTTTCAGGTCTGTCGCTCTTCAACTTCCTATTTACCGACTTAGTTAAATTTTCGATGGTGAACATTTTTTGTAACATCACAGCCTCATAATATTTGGTATACAAATGCAACCCGGCCTTTTCTGTCTTTGACCCATTTTTTTTTTCTTGTAAATTAATTAATTCTCATTAGTGTAATGCCAATTTTTCTCATAAGGTTATAATTAACACACGAAATGTGTTTAATCTGAAGCTTATAAGTAATCCATAGGGAATGAATGGACAGTGAATGTAATGGTTACATAAATCTCTTATTCAGCTGACACTCAATATAATTGATTAAGTATTTATCGCTAGAAAAAAAAACAATTATCTTCTTTTTATACCTGAAAAGCTTGAACTAATAAGATCATTTAAGTTGATTGCTTTGACATCCAGACTCATTAATTCCATGCTGTCGACCTCCCCTGTCATTACAAAAATTTCTTAGGAGATTTTAAGATAAATTTGCAAATTAGATTTATTGAAAATGAATGGAAAATCTGAAAGTGTTAGGATCTCTTTTAAATATTTATGGTTTATGTGTATTGAGGTGTTACAAATGAAGTTAAATGAAATATTAAATGTTAATGTGCTTACGCCAGCAGATTATTTTATATTTTCTTTGCTTATTTGCTGATGCGCTTTATGCTTGTTGGATTTTTTTTTACATTTGCTTATTTCATTTTTACAGCAGACGATAATGCTTCTATAACATCAAGTGAACAAGCAGCCATAATTCAAACTCCTGACCAATCAGATAACAACACTGTTTCGGGCTTTAGCAATGACTTTCCAGAGTCAGAAATTCCACCTCCTCAGCCAATGGAACTGGAAGTTCTGGCGGCTGAGGAGCGCAAAAAGATGGTTTCCAGTTATGAAAATGTTTATACTGGAGTTCCACTTGAGCCTACTGTCAACAGAATGTCTATGGACGCAAGTGAAATGGATATTGGCGACCGTTTTGATACAAAACAACCTGATTCTAAACTACATTCAGGTTTATCTTCAAGTTATGAAAAGTTGTATGATAAAACTGAGGATAAAAGTGAAGATGAAGGTGAGTGTAAATCAGAGTCGACTACATTGTCGTCTGCTTCTACTGTTATTGATGTTCGCTCTAGTTTTGCCTCTACAATTCACTCTTCACACCCGTCCACTGCTCATTCCTCTCCAGTCTATATTACAGTAGAATCAGGCTTAGATAAACTTGCATGCGACACTAATGGAACCAGTTCAAGCTGCTTCGCTGGCGTTGTTTCAAACAGTTCAAGGGTAAAGGGTGACCTTACAGAGAGGTCTGTATCATATGATTCAACAGAAACTGTTGACGTAAATCGAGACTCCATCTTTCGACCGGTGTCATCCCCTGATGTATTCTGTCCTGATCCAGTTGAAACAGGGTTCCCTTCTATTAGTTCAGGCAGAGGTACTTAGCTCATTCACTGGCTAGCTTGCTTTTTGTTGTTATTTCAGTCTCGCCAAGTGATGTCGGTGTTGTTGCATCCATGCATTTATATATGTGTTGTTTTATTTTTTTAGAATTGATGTGAAGCACTCAGCTATTGTTTGTTATCAGGGACCATTCTCTGCTAATTTATGTTACACTGTTTTATTGTCATGCTTTATATTTGTGTGATTTTGTTTTTTAGGTAAATTTGTTGTACTTCATAAGTGTTTTTTTCATCTTTTCACTTTCATTTGTGTTTCAGAACTGCAAGGCATATTCATATTGTATTTTTTTCTCTTTTCATTCTCTGTAGTCTTTGTTTTGTCTTGTAGGTAATTAGATATTATGTGAAGGAAAATAAGATTCAAACCAGTTTTAGCATGAATGACATATGATAAGTTTTTTCAGGTGGTAAAACACTGAATCGGGAGGGTTTGGAGGTAGGAATTGCCACTGTTAAATAACTTAGAATGGTGATACTAAAGTTGACTATGGCCTGTTACTCATTTTAATTTTTGCAATTCAAAATTATAAAATTATATAATAGGGATGGCAACGAATACCAAAATCAATACTCGATTACTCGGTCATTGTTCCGATCGAGTACTCGGTTACTCGGATGATTTCCAATGATCTTCAAAGTTTATCACACAATATCAACTTTTGTTTTCTATTTAAATTAATAGAATTCTGTAGATAGTAAAAAGGACTGCACGGGAGACAAGTTAATTATAATTAAATCAACAACATAATATTTTACAACGTTTTGATTAATGCAATATCAAGTTTTAAAAATGTATAACAGTTCATATATCTTTTTTCTTCTTGAAATAATATAGACTGATCGGCGGCAACCAAAGTCTAACCGGGTCTAAATACTATTTACCTTTATTCTTACATTCATGATAGCAATCGGCCCTTTGATGTTTTCAAAACAGTTACTTCGGCTATACAATTAAAGGTTATTAAATATCATAAGAGGCTGGATGATATAAGCGACACAGGTGCGCGTGTCAAACTGTTGATCGCCTCGTTAAATTTATTATATCATTTTCGCACCTCTGCAAGGATGTTTTGATTGCATTAAACGGGTATTTATGAAGATACATGCACATCTCCAAATTAATTGGGTACACCAATCTTTCTAAATCGCAAATAAATAGAAAATATATATATTTTCAGAGTAATCGAATATCAGTTTTATAACCCATATTGGGACGTTCGATCGAGTACTCGGTTAACCGGTTACTCGTTGCCATCCCTATTATATAATTATTATAACAATCTGTATAGTAGATTTTATATTATTATTTTGAGTAAAAATTTATAAATTGTGAAGCATATACTACACTATGCTATTTATATATTTAGTGGTTAAGGTCGTTGACTTCAAATCACTTGCCCCTCACCGCTGTGGGTTCGAATCCTGACAGGGACTTTGGATTCTATTATGTGACGAAGCTATCCAGGTCGGTGGTTCTACTCAGGTGCCCGTTCGTGCCTGAAATAATGCACGGAAGGGCACCTGAGGTCTTCCTCCACCAGTAAAGCTGGAACGTCGCGATATGACCTATACTGTGTCGATGTGACGTAAAACCCAAAAGTATTATGATAGTTGGAGGCATTTGAATGCCTTTTAATATTAATTTAAATAATTTCATAACAACCTTTACAAAATGTCTGTATAAAGAGGAAATTTGTTTAACTGCAGTTGGCGTTGTACATTGGACAATGAGATTACATTATGTTAAATATGCGGGGTATATAAATTTACACTTGAGATTGGTCTTTGTTTTTAAAATTGTTTTAATAATTATGTCAATTGGATTGAATTCAAATGAATCCTGTAGATGGATATTGATGGTTATAAAAATGGTTATAAAATTGAAAAGTTAGTTCACAGTTTTACTGTAACAAACAGAAAGATTACTCCTTATTTATCTTTTACAATTGCTAATGCAGTACTTATCTGGTTAGAAAGAATATATTGAAGATTTCATACAAATATTGACAGGCTAAAATTTACTTGAAATTCAACTGCTTCTGACATAATCCTGTTCTGGTATACTATATGAGCCATGTCATGACAAAACCAACATAATGGGTTTGCGACCAGCATGGATCCAGACCAGCCTGCGTATCCGCGCAGTCTGATCAGGATCCATGCTGTTGGCTTACCAACTCTATTTCAAGTAGAGAAACTGATAGCGAACAGCATGGATCCTGATCAGACTGCGCGGATGCACAGGCTGGTCTGGATCCATGCTGGTCGCAAACCCATTATGTTGGTTTTGTCATGACTAGTCTACCTGATGCTGTTGTTTGCCTAGTCAGTAGTGATATAATTGTTCTGAAATGATTTGATTTCCTTTTATTCGTATTGGGAATTAAATTAAGAGACAAAATTGTAGGGAAAATTGCTTTTAAAGTTTGCAATGTCAGCAATTCCTTTCTTGCATTTTTAGCTCAACTATTCGAAGAATATGAGAGCTATTGTAGTCGCGTCGGCGTCAGCGTCCGCGTCGGCGTCTGCGTTGGTTAAAGTTTTTTGTAAAGTAAAATATCTCAATTATTGCTTGAGATATTCAATTGAAACTGACAATACTTATTTATAGTAACAAGGTACATCAGATTGACAAGTTGGATAACTCTGCCTACAATATTGACAGAATTATGCCCCTTTTTAACTTAGAAATTTTGGTTAAAGTTTTTTGTAAAGTAAAATATCTCAATTATTGCTTGAGATATTCAATTGAAACTGACAATACTTATTTATAGTAACAAGGTACATCAGATTGACAAGTTGGATAACTCTGCCTACAATATTGACAGAATTATGCCCCTTTTTAACTTAGAAATTTTGATTAAAGTTTTTTGTATAGTCAAATATCTCAATTATTGCTTGAGATATTCAATTGAAACTTACAGTACTTATTTATAGTAACAAGGTACATCAGATTGAGAAGTTGGATAACTCTGTCTACAATATTGACAGAATTATGCCCCTTTTTAACTTAGAAATTTTGGTTAAAGTTTTTTTGTATAGTCAAATATCTCAATGATTGCTTGAGATATTCAATTGAAATTTACAATACTTTTTTATGGTAACAATGTACATCATTTTGCAAAATTGCATAACTCTGTCTGCAATATTTGCAGAATTATTTGCCCCTTTGAAACTTAGAAATTTTGGTTAAAGGTCTTCGAAGATATTTACTTCAAACTTTACACATGTACTTAGGGTCATAATTTGAGGGTCATAACTGTATGTCACTGACCAAGTTCCATAACTCTATCTTGTATTAAGGCTGATTCATATCCCCTTTTCTACTTTGTCTCCTGGTTAATGTTTACATGCAAGTTTTACATATCTCAATAACTATTAAAGATATTTATTTAAAACTTCACATATGCATTTAGGGTCAGAATTGTAGGTCACTGACAAAGATCCATAATTCTATCTTGCATTTAGGCTGATTTTTCTTCCCTTTTTCAACTTAGAAACTCATGGTAAAGTTTTGCTTGTAAGCTGTTATCTCCATAACTACTGAAAGGTTTGTGCCTTTTTTGGGACAATTTTATGCATTCATAATAATAAAGCAGTGATTTACTTGATAAAACATCTTAATAACAAGCCTTTGTACCTTTTCTGTCAATTTTATGTATGCATAGGTAATTAGTATTATTATACTCAATAAAACACCCTTGTGACATTACCTTCCAAATAGTCAAGCCAATACTGTATAATTAGACTCTTTCTAAGGCCTATAACATGAATTTATAAAAAAAAATTAGTCCTTTTGTGAACTTAGAAAATTTAACATTATCAAGGCTCTTTTACTATCAAGCACTTAGAATAGTCGAGCGTGCTGTCCTACCGACAGCTCTTGTTAACACTTATGAGCACAGATTGTTGAATGATATATGTTGTGATCACCTTGTAACTGTCGTCAGTCAATTGTTGCCTGTCAACAATTTAAAATAAACAATCTCCTCGTAAACTCTTTGGCCAGTAGTAATGATGCTTATACAGGAATGATCTTTAGTTGGAACGTATGAAAAATGCTCATATGGTTATGTCAGCTAAAAGGCTTCCAACTAGGCTAAAAATAAAACCATCTTTAAACAGCATTTTTGCCTAAACCACTGATATGATCATTAGGTGATTAAATGTATGCTTAAGTCATTCCGGTCTGCTGAACAAAGTGGCCGCTAGAGCTTATTTTAAACCATATATCCAAATGCTTGAGCTTTAAATGACCTTGACGGCCAAATGATTGAATTTTTTGATTGTGCACTGCCTCCGCCAGGCGGTGGCTCTTGTTTTAATATAAAAATACTTGTATCTGCATTGGCAACTTGTGATATGGTTTTACAAATTGAAAAGATTGACAAACTGGATCAGTATAAGAGCTAGGATTTAATGTTTCTCATTTGCATGTTTTTGCCAATGCATTATTATGTTTCTATGATCAGAATAACTTTTGTCTATTTATTGTAAAAAGCAAAGTTTGCTGTGCATGCTTAAAATATTATACTTATGGGATTTTTTTTTATTGCTAATGATAGTTTTTAGCTCGACTATTCGATAAGAATAAGTAGAGCTATTGCAGTCACCCGAGCGTCGGCGTCGGCGTAACCACTTATGTTAAAGTTTTTGTAATAGTTCAAATATTTTCACAGTCCATTGACATATGGCTTTGAAACTTTGCACACTTGTTCACCATCATGACCCCAACCTGTAGACAGGAGGAGGTAACTCTATCAAGCATTTTGACAGAATTATGCCCCTTTTTCGACTTAGAATTTACGTTAAAGTTTTTGTAATAGTTCAAATATTTTCAAAGTCCATTGACATATGGCTTTGAAACTTTGCACACTTGTTCACCATCATGACCCTAACCTGTAGACAGGAGGAGGTAACTCTATCAAGTATTTTGACAGAATTATGCCCCTTTTTCGACTTAGAATTTCCGTTAAAGTTTTTGTAATAGTTCAAATATTTTCAAAGTCCATTGACATATGGCTTTGAAACTTTGCACACTTGTTCACCATCATGACCCCAACCTGTAGACAGGAGGAGGTAACTCTATCAAGCATTTTGACAGAATTATGCCCCTTTTTCGACTTAGAATTTCCGTTAAAGTTTTTGTAATAGTTCAAATATTTTCAAAGTCCATAGACATATGGCTTTGAAACTTTGCACACTTGTTCAACATCATGACCCCAACCTGTAGACAGCAGGAGGTAACTCTATTAAGCATTTTGACAGAATTATGCCCCTTTTTCGACTTAGAATTTACGTTAAAGTTTTTGTAATAGTTCAAATATTTTCAAAGTCCATTGATATATGGCTTTGAAACTTTGCACACTTGTTCAACATCATGACCCCAACCTGTAAACAGGAGGATGTAACTCTATCAAGCATTTTGACAGAATTATGCCCCTTTTTCGACTTAGAATTTACTTTAAAGTTTTTGTAATAGTTCAAATATTTTCAAAGTCCATTGACATATGGCTTTGAAACTTTGCACACTTGTTCACCATCATGACCCCAACCTGTAAACAGGAGGAGGTAACTGTATCAGGCATTTTTTTTACTATCAAGCACTAAGAATAGTCGAGCATGCTGTCCTACCGACAGCTCTTGTTTAATTTGTTATTTAGTGTACTGAAGTCTAATATTATTCTTGAAATATTCAATGATAAGAACTTTTGTATTGTTAAAATAGGTTTCTAAGTTACTAGATAATGTATTAACATCAAGCAACAAAATATAGACTTGTGAAAATTGAAGTGTTTAGAAAATGGTTTGTCTATAAGGAAAAATGATTTGTTATTGTCAAACCTGCCGTATGATTTATTTTGATGTTTTTACCATTTAACGCTATCATAGGAAGTGACAAAGGAAAAACTTATACTGAAGTAGGAGTAAGCAAAGGTACTAAATTGTTCTCTATGTTGTTTACGTTAAACATTTCTGTTATGTGTTCTGAATGATTTTTATGTCAAATTCTTTCTATTTTAAAAACTGCTACCAATTGTTTTAAACACATTATAATTTATATCATTAATCACATATTTCAAGTTTCAAAAATTTCATTCTGAAATGCCAGTCTTTTAAAACGATTGGGCATACATGATTAAAAAAAATACAGTTAAAACATTTGACTAAAAATCATGAAGGACTTATTACTCCATTTTTACAACTTTATTTTTTTTATCACAACCTACCTTAAGAAATTAATATTTTCACTGTAAAGATAAAGTATGCTATTTTTCAATTGCTAGTTTTTTTGGTTATGTAATTTTCTTTTGTTCTTGTTAATATTTGGCAAATTTGGTAATTAATGTTTATGTTTCGATCCCCTTCATAAAAATGTTTTTACCAGTTTAAATATATATATTGTTGGGCGTAGCTCTTTTTGCTGTTTTTTATTTTGTTTAAATCGTGCCCAAAGTTTTTGCCAAAACTGGAAAATTGTTTTTAAAACTTTAAAAAATGTACATTAAAAAGGTTAAAAGGGTTTTGTCTATGCATTAAAGGGGGTTTTCCCAGTGCAAAAAAAAGTGTGACCTTTTTTATAAAAAAATGATTGTATGTGTTTAAATGTAATAGGTTTAAGTAAGCTCGCTAAATTCTAAGTCATAAGTTTATCTCTAAAATTAAAGTGATCATTCTGTGATTTTTTAACTTTGATGTTTACTTCTACTCTTTGCATGCAGCTGCTCAAATTTCGAGCTTTAGGGATGAAAGGACAAGTATTGACTTTGAGGAGCATTTTCCTCCTACTAAAAAAACTTCCCCCGCTTTAAAAAAGAAACTTGATATTGATATAACTCCACAGGAAGAGAACCAACCGTTCTCTGCTACTGACTCTCCAGTTGAATCTGTCTCTCCTTTGAAAGATCTTTCGGAAATATCTCCAGTGCATGATGACTTGAAAGTAGACAAAATGGCTATATCAGTTGGCAGATCTCCATCTGACTTTCTTTTTGAATCAGAAGAAATTGCTGCGGAAAATTTGGAGAGAATGAAGTAAAAAAATTTAAAAAGCAAAGGGGCAAAAAGGATTTTCTTTTAGGATGAAAGCCCAATGGGGGACTTGAGACAGTTAGGGTTTGTCTCAAAAGAAAACCATTGAAAAATAAAAATTCAAATTTTTAAGGAAAGGTATTTTAAAAAAAATGTTGCCGTGAAGCACCGAAAATTATAATGGAAGAAAAGGTTTTTTCAACTGAAGATACTGAAAAATATTCAAAATCGGAAGAATCACAGGATGAAATAAAACTTACGACAAGTGAAATTATAAGTGAAGAAATTGAAATTCAAGATGATGGTACAGAGTTAAGAAAAGAAAATAAAGAGCTGATCGCTATCATTGATGAGGATTCTAAATCAAAATTGGAAGAAACCAAAAGTAGATCTTTAACAAAAAAAGAAGATGTAAAAGAGACAATGTATCCATTTGTCAAAGAAGGTGAAGATGGTGAAATGAAAGAACAGCTCCTAGATACAGTTGCCTCAAAAGTTGAGACTCTAGAAACTACTTTACACACTGTTACGGATGAAGATAAACATAAAAGTGATGAAACAAAGTTGACATCAGAATGGTTGATAGAAGTCAAAGGTGATGATGCAAAAATTATAGCAGGTTCTGATGTTCATTTCGAGGAACATAGGCAGACAGAAGAAGATACTTTGAACGAGTATGGATCTTCTACTGTTGACCAGTTAAAACAAGAAAGTATAACAGAAGTGCTTTTTGATGTAAGTAAATATAGTTCAGGTCAAACACCACAAGTTGAGCCTGTTCTTGAAAGGCATGGTGAGAGAGAAGAACGTGTAACTGATTCTCAAGATTTTAAATCACAAACTGTAAGACACGAAGATGTAACTTTTAAAATTGACACCGATTTGGTAAAATCAATGGATAGTGCTATTCAAAAGAAAGACTCTATCGAAAGTAAATCACAAAGAGACAGTGGATTGTTTGAAGAATCTGATAGTGAAGACTCGGATGAGGACAAAGTTAAATGCAGTGTTGAAATGGGTTTTGACAACATGGCATTTACTGAAGAGGAATGTGTCAAGCCAAAAGACTTTTCTAAAATTGGAACATACATGGACCCCAATGCAGAGTTTTCAAAACAGAGAGATATTTCTCCAGAAGATCTTTCAACAAAATTTGATTTTGCTGAAGAATTAAGGGAGGAAATGCAGCAATCTCAGACAACTGCTGATGATGACAGAACTCTTTCTTTGTCAGGAGCTGATTATGAGTTTAAGAGAGATTTTCATACAGAAACTCCACAAGGCTTTGATGACCTTCCAGTTGATGAAGGGGGAAGATGTCCTACTTCTGGTAAAATAGATGAGCCTTCATTTGATGAAAATCTACTTGGTGCCGTTGGTCCGCCAGTCATACCAGACTCATTGGAAGGGTTGACACATGTAGAATCTTCATCTTCATCATCAAGTAGCCCAGCAAATGAAATATTTGATAGTTTGACTGGAAATATCGTGCCCTGGGAAATACAGCAACAATTCACCCGACAGTTTTCAGACTCATATGTTGACCAAGAAGATAAAGATTCTGTTGAAAAAAGTGAGTCTGCAAAGTCTCTTGACTTGGGTGAATTCTACAGGAGAGACACTGAAAAGGATAAAGATATAATATTTCAGTCAGAAGAGCAGCAGTTACCGCCAGGATTGCTTCGATCAACTCATGACGAAAAAACTGAAACCTCACCTGTATTGAAAAAGAAAGGACAAAGAGTAAGATTCTCTCTTTCAGAGGACCATATGGAGGATACATGTTTAGTAGAAACTGTACATCCTTATGATTTGAAAATGACGGAAGAATGGGAAAAGGTTGGTGAAAATGAAAGTGTTGAGAGAAAACAAATGTCAAGTGAACCACATGATAAGATAACTGAAGCTTACCAGCATGCAGTTATAGCATCAATATATGAATCAAGGATACAAAGTGAACAAGCAAGAATCAGAGAGTTAGAAGAGCTGCAATGTTTAGAACAGGAAGAAACGTGTATGAGTCCTCCAGCAGAAGTCAGAGTCACAAGTGCAGATACCAAAATATACACTTCATCCGCAATTTCAGCTACTGTTTTGGATGACTCTAAAGATGAAGATGTTGTTGAAGAAGAGTATGAAGAGGCTGATTCAGATGTAGAAATGGTTAATACAATGTCTCAAACAATTGAATGTCAACCATTATCAGTGAGTGTTGTAAGTCGTGAATCAAGATTAGCACATGAAGAGTTGCTTAAAGAATCATTTGATGAGAAAGATAGATCAATATCACCATCAATTGACAGTGAAGAATTGTCAACTACTTATGAAAATCAAAATGAACTCCAGGAAGAATTAGACATTAGTGTTTTATCAAAAAAGTTTCCTCTAGCTGTTCACGGTCTAGGAAAAGTATTACCTGACAATGAAATCTATGAATCAAGTGAAACAGACAGAGATACAACAGAGGACGAAAGGCTTTCACCAATAGAAGAGACTTCTGGTGATGATGTAGAAATATGTGAAAGTAAGATTGATAAAAAAGTAACATTTCAGACTGATACACAACATCTTTGTTCAGTATCTAGTGAAGACTTGGTGAAAACTTCTACATCTTCGTCAGAAGTGGAGCCAACATTATTAGCTGCTTCTTATGATTTGGATTCTGGAAGAGTTTCTCATGTGGTCACATCATATGACTTGTCTCCAGATACAGTAGAAAAACAGTTTTTACCTGTTGCTACAGCTCCAAAAACAATACTGTCAAGTCCCGAAGATGATGTTTTTGAAGCAGATCTAACTATTGGTGAAGGCACTGACACTGTTGTTACTGTAGGAGAAAATGAACAAACACCAACTGAAGCTGACATTGATCTGCTTCCAAGAGACCCTCAAGACTCTCCAGATAAGCAAACTCAGAAAAGTATTGACTCTGCTTCTGCAGGAAGCAGTCTTCTCCCATCACCCCCTGCCCCTTCGCCCTTTGAAGGACAAAACAACAGCTATCATACAGTCATCAACCTTGAAGGAGCAGCACGTAAAATGAAAAGTTTGAAACCAAGTGATTCTGTTGACTCTAATGATAAACATGATTTGAGTATTGATCTACCTTCATCGGCAGTAGAAAAGTGTGTTGCTGATGATGAAATGGACATAGAATCACCGTTCGAAATAATGTCCCCAAGCGATCTACAAGGCTATGAAGAATATACTATAAAACAAAGAGAGTTGGATGCAGTTATGGCTGCATCTGCAACATCCCAGGCCTCAACAAGCAGCTTTGCAGAAGTTGATTTAGCAGAAATTGCTGAACCATTACAAATGACTGATTCCTCTGTCATACCATCAGCACCTCCGATGCCCGATCTGCTCAGTCCAGATAAATCTACAAATGAATCTTCATTTGAGCATTCATCGCCGGTTAGTAGTGAATTGTCTGAAAAAGGAATGGAATCACCTTTTGATTGCATATTGCCAGAAACAAGTGATCAAATTCCAGATATTTTATCATCTGTTTTACCGTCAGAGCAACAATCTGATATAGTTATTGAACCAGATTCGATACCAGTTTTACCAAATGGACCCACTGAAGTTGACTTTAATCCTGAGATTGATTTAGATTTTGATGAAACTGGCTACCAACACCCTGCTCCTGACCAAGAGGAGCAACCTGATCAAGAGTCATCTGATAATTTTGTTATTGTATCTCAAAGCACAATGCCATCATCAGTTCAACTGACAAGTTCCTATGTTGCTGTAACTGACACTGTTAGCGCAACCCAGCAAACAGGTATGACAGAAAGTGTGATAGAGGAACTACCAGTTCAAAGTAGTCAGGATATACTTGTTATATCAGATCAAACATTATATGGGTTAGAGATGCCATCAGATGAAGCAGCGTCAATGAC